AGCCCTCCACCACGGCGTCTCTCATAATCATATGATGGTCTTGGGACGTTAAACGCCACAAATCAATCAGATGCCTCCAAAGAAAAAAAAAAGCCGGTGGTGGGTGAGACCGTCCCTTAGATCGCGAGAGTTGGCCAGCCGTGCAAGCCGCCTACCTGTCGAGCTGACCTGAGACGATGAGGCGATGAGGCTTTATTCCGAGAGTCGTACCTATTCAGAAACGCTTTTGAATTTATATTGGCTTGCCACAGCCTCAAATACAGCACAAAAGCGTCTCGAACGTGGCGTTTTAAGTCGTTGCCAAGGCATGAAGCACAAACACGTTCCAAACGCACTGCACTGAAGGCAGTGACAAGTCAAGTTGATGTCAAAAACGACTCTGAATACGAGGAAAAGATACTGCACAATTTATTTTCTCTTTACTTTGACGGTGTTTAGCTTCTTGCGAATGCCGCCACGTAAATTCGAAACTTTGCTCGAGCTGCTGCGCCCCGCAATCTCCAAGCCAAGTATTCCGTGGTGGCCATGGTGCCACAGACCCTGAGGAACGCTATTGTTTGTTTATGGCGGCAGGAAGCCAGTGCAATGAAAATACAAAAAAAAAACAAAAAAATGAGCATCGCTGATTGGTTCAGCAGCTTTGCGTCTGCAGTCGCGCGACTGAAAAATTGGTCAGGAATCGACTAGCCAAAGCAGTGGCTTTGCGACCCTTTGCGACCGTTCGCGACTGTGGCGAGCAGTCGCAAATGGTCGCACGACCACTGCTAGTCGGTGTGCACCAGCCTTATCACCTCCGATACAGGTGCGCATCTTTCTCCGCGGGCGCGCATGCCTTCGTTTTCGAAGATAACTCCCAGAAGGCGCTCGTGTCTAACGTGCCTCGATGCGTTCGTTCGCCTCCGCTACATGCTCTAGGCACTCTAACGCAGCGCCTCCAGAATACCATTCACCAATTTTCTTGCGCAGAACATCAAATAAACGTATTATTCGCTCTCTCGAGACGCAAGACTATCGTCTTTCGACGACATTTGCAGTGTATAATGCTGATTCGAGGCCAATGTTTCTACCGGAGCCTAAACTTTTGACTTCCAGCGCACTTTCTCGGGATTTCTGGCCTCTACTCGAGACAGTTTTGACCTTTCGTGTTCTCTCTACGTTTTCGCCGGTGCCTTTTTCTTTCGGGGCGGCAGGAAATGATCACCGACTCGGCAATAATACTGGAAAGTACCCTACTCAAAACTCCAGGTGGCTCAACTGGTATATGCTTGCTGTTATTTTTAGCTGTCTGCTCATTTAAAAGAATGCTGCAATAGACACTTGCTAAACCAGGCGGCTCGCCTTCAGATGTCTCTTTGATGAGAGTTAACCCCTCTCCCTAATCGAAGCGCTTCATCACCTCACGGTGTGTTAAGCACCTCTTCCTCTCGGAATAACCTAAGCGCCTCATCACCTGGACTTTTACAGTGTACTTCATTAGCGCTGTCTGCTTCCGGAATCTCATGAGCAGACTCGCAGGCCATCGGACGCGTCAGAGGTGTCGCTAATTTGTCACCAAAACAAAGACATTTCAAGAGCATATCTGCGTCATTCTGAGAGGGATAACGCTCGGGCAGGTTTTCGGACATCACAGTTTCTGTGGCGAGCAGTCTGAGTGGTCTCTCTTTTTCATCGCGGGCTAACGGCAAATACACACTTTAATTTTCAACTATTCGCCACGCACAGACGCGTTCCCCTGTGGTAACCTCATTTTCACACGAGTAGAGATCTACACTATCATACGTTGCGGCTGACTCTCGTGGTACGCTACGCAACAATTTCTCCAGGTTTGACTCCTGAATGTGGGGTTTTATTTGCTCCTGAATACTGTCGCTGCTGTCCACCAAAAAGAGCGTACTCTTAGGCCTACGGCAGGCGATCGCTACGTGGCCTGGCTCATTGCAGCAGTGGCATACTACCGGTTTAGCCTTACACAACTAATGTTTGTTCCCTTCTGAGTGGCTCACTGTAGCTGCAAACTTGGCAGGACTGTATTTCACTTTCATACCGAAGAGTACTAAACCGTTAACTGGGTTACTTGAGGCCTGATGAATTCCTAAAGCCAATCGTCTTTGCTCATTTATTCCGTCTTCCTCAGCCCATCTTTGCTTTCTTTCGGCGTCTTTTTTCTGTTTTTCAACTTTCTCCCAACATTCCTGTATTTCTTCCTCCTCTGACCCGCACTACTAAATAGCCGAAATCAGCTGCGACTCTCTCTCATTTCTCCCTGCCATAATTCCCAGCTCTTTACACAGAAGTAAGAGGTCTGGTCTCTCTTGCTTCTTTACAAGCTCCATGGTCTTCACGACTGAGGACTTCCTTACCCGCTGTGATTTAGCGAACAAGCGAAGCCCACACGCACGGTAAAAATACTGCCTGTTTTGAACGTGAAAGCTAGAATTTGGTGAATAGCTGTGACGTATGGTAGCGGTACAACGAATCCTATACCCACAGAAGATTACACACACTTTTAGAAAACTTCAGAGGCTAAAACATGTCCAAAGTAAATAAAAATGTCAAGCGCTCACCATATTGTTGAGGATCGAGTCAAGCATGGGTCATCCCGTCACTTCCAACTAGTTGATGTGTTCCGATTGTCAGCCGCATCACACCGCTGCCATCCATTTGATGTGTTTGGGGGTCTGCCCTGAGGACCGGAGCCAGCCAGAGTCTCGGGGAGATGTCGAGTATAGGAGCCGGGAGCTGCTAACAGTAACTTTTATTTGCATTATTTACAGGTAGCTTGTTGCTACATGATGGTGCTAGCATCATGGAAGCACTCGAGCTTCTGTGAGCTTCTCGGAGCTAGCTTGTCAGAAGCGCCTCGGCACTCCCATTCAATGTCCTGGCTTTTCCATGATTTCCTGCAGGAAAAAACGATGGAGGCCAGCACAGCCCCATAAATTTTGCCATATTCACCTTCACCCCCATAAGGAGAAGGTTAAACGCCACCTCCTCCCATCCAATGAAAAGAAAAGAGGCACGTCTAATTCCGCCCATGGCGAGGGAGAAAAAGCTGCACACCGCGCACGACACAGCACAGCATGAAGAAATTTGACTCCCACGTGGAAATCAACTATGTAGACCGTTGCAGTGATATGTGGCGCCAAACAGACCACGACTTGTGGAAACAGTGATATTAGGCACCACGGAGAACGTGGGAAATGCATCCGCAGATGGTTCTCAGTCGCTTAGCATATTGTCCGTGGCACGCCGACGAACAGAGATGTACAGAGATAACCACCATTTTAAGCTCTTGAATGTAAGAAGGCCTTTCATAGGTAGCCAGTCGGTCGGGTAAGTTCAAAGGGTTCTACGAGGAGAGACGACTGCACCGCGAAATTCCAAGTTCGGCTTGCGTGTCGTTCAAGCCGCTTGTAGTTCACCTTTAGGAGCACTGTCCCGCAACCGTCTCACGTCCAAGCGGCACCATGTCAAGGAGGCCGGTCAGTGGTAATTTTTGTGAACGTTGGAAGTCGTTATAAAGTGCACAGTAATCTAGCCACGTGGTATGACTTTCATTTTCCAGTCGTCTCAGGCGCAGGCATGAGGTACCCTGTGTGCATAGGTCGGTGGGACTCACTCATGAGTGTGCTCAATCCGACTTAGCCAGATGGAGACCGAGCCTTGAGTGTGTGCCGGAGCGAGTATTGGTGAGCTTCGGTCTTAGTGAATGTGGTTCGGAAAAATTTGGGCCAGTCTGATTCCGAATGAGTGCTAAGCAGAAGATATAATCCTTGAGTGAGGCTGAACGAGTTCAGCTTTTAATGCCGACCGACGGTCTTATCTATTTCTCTTCAGTACTGCTATCAGCCTGATATGAATTCACGTTTATGCTCATGTCTTCTCGCACATATTGCGAAGCAGTATCGTCTATACAACATCTCAATATCTATCGATCAGATATGGGAACTGCATAGACGGGGGTGGGTGTGCCTTAACCTCCCCATGGCCATCTCTTACACGGAAAATTCTTAAAAAATGTGTCGAGAAGTTCTTCATATCTTCCGAATAATCACTTCTGACTCGCATTTCAAGGTATTTTAGCAAGATACGTCAATAAAAGCAAAGCTAACGTTAGATGTTGATGTAGAAAAAGCATTTACAGCATAGCTGAAAAACCTAATTCCGCTCTACCAGACTTTTTAGCCGACTCTTTCAAACTCACTGAGACTCGTATTGAGCCACCAGTCTGGGTCAGTCTGAGTTAGTCATAATTTTGTGAGTTGGAGTGTGAGTGAGTCTAACCGAAAGAAACGTTTTAGTTAATCTCTGCCCGAGTGAGTTCGGTTGAAGAACCTTAACTTTACAGTGAGTCATTCCAAGTGAGACGCGCAATATAAATTTAGTGAGCGAGTAGTAGTGTGCTCCTGGCTTGGGCCTTTGAGTTCAATTTTGCTTGCTCCTCTGTTACTAAGCTACGTTATTTCTGAAAACTTGTACGTAACATGAGATAATAGAATAACGCAAGATTACAATGTACAATTGTATATGTGGTAGCGAACAATGGGTGTTCACTTATTGCGCATTCATATAAATCTCACTTAGCAGGCAACATTATAGACGGTCGCACGTTTTAACAGCCTGATCCGAGTGCCACTTACTAAAGTCACTTAGGCGGGCAGGCTCGGAATGAGTTCGGCAACCACCACTACTGACTAGAGCATGCGTAAGGGACAGCAAGGACAGTGGTGGGAGAGAGCAGAGCTTGTGGATGATGGACAAGGAGGTTGAAGGACGGGGTGGCAGAGAGTAAAGCCAAGTAAAAAAATTGCACCTCAACGATGTTTGAATGATTGGAAACCCTATTCCGCTGTGCGAAATAATGACAAGTTAGGCATAAGCTGTGGAGTTCACGCACATTCAAAAGAGCTCAATGCATCTAGCAGCTCTCAATACAACGATAGGGCTAATAGTTGTTTCCGAGTAATGATAATGTTTCATTACCTTATTTTGACTCTCAGGTTACAAGTAATGAGCTGTTCCCGTCATTAGAGTTTGTTGGTGAGAGTGGGCCGACGTGGAGAAACCAGCCACCCTTCCAATGGAGCACCAGTGGACTGCCCGGCAGTCACCTCGGGCAGCCGGACAAGTGGCAGTTCAAGCCTGTTCAGCACAAGTGGGAGCCAGCGCTGCGCAACATATCAATCAGCTAGCTGCTGGAAAAAGGGGTCGCATTTCTGTGACCTTAATGTCACTTTCTACAAACAAAGAATACTTATGGTGCACCTTGTAATGTTTCCCAATAAAGGGAAGGTCGTAAGAACGTTTCATTTTTTAACACGAACATAAACGTGTGATCTCTAATCAACGTCTAAAATTAGAATTACAATCTTCTATTGATATGCGCTTTTGTTTTTGCTGTCGGTAGCATAAAGGTAGCATTGAATGTGTAGCAAGTTCTCATTTAGGACACGTTGTTTCGGAACCAAGCTCATGTTTAATTTAGCTAGAACCGTGTGAAACGCTGCCTGGGTTTTCTCTTGTTTTGTAACAGAGCTTTTCTGAAAATACATTATACAACCAGGCTTGTGCATAAAGCGATAACTGTCAAACCAACCAAGCTGAATTTGCGCCTAGGCTTCTCAGGCCTTATATTAAAGCATCTGTGCTATCTGGTGATGTGATAACGAATGTAATTTTCAAACAATAAGATCAATGTCATTAGAGACTCGCTATTCGTCGGCAATACTGTTCTCCGGTGAGCGCGCTGTTGGTCTAGGCGAGCCTGCTCATGAGCGTCCTGGTCGGGAAAGACCCTCTACCAGCCGATGTTTTCTTAATCAGTGGTTGGTTATACGAATGAATGCTTAGCATTTACTTCATAACAAGACATGTACGCCGCCACAATTCACAAAATAAGGAAAATCAATTTCAAGTTGGTGTAGTGGCTTGTATACTACGAACAAATTGATGTCACGATAAAAAAAAAGCGTAAACTCAGAGCTGAGGTCACTGCTTTTTTACGGTAGAATGACCATATTTTTCCCACTATCTATTTAGGTCCTTTATCTCTAACTTTATTCTGCAAATTTTCTACCCCTTCTCTTATTTCTTTCGTAGACGTGTGCATCTTTTCATTGCCATCCCTGAAACGCAGGGTGTCATGTAGGCGCATGCCTAAGCGTACATCTGGGTGGGAATTTGCCCATACAATTAGAGTAGGCTCCGTCATGTCTTTAGTATTCGCACAACTTGTAAAAGTTTCTTATTTCTTACTAAATTGCACTATAAAGCTACGCGTTCTAAGGCAACCCGACCTTATCCAAGAAGAAAAGTGGTTGCCATGAAGTTATCTTGAAATGCATTCTCTCTTTTTTTTTGTCCTTTTGGTGGTTACACAGAGTTCTTTTTTTGTTCTTTCTTTGCCGCTATCCAATGAACCCTCATCACCTGTGGCCCTTTTGACATCACTCTTTGCGCCCCGCCACGGTGATCTAGTGGCTAAAGTACTCGGCTGCTGGCCTGCAGTTTGCGGGATGGAATCCTTGCTGTGGCGACTGCATTTTCGATGGAGGCGAACATGTTGTAGGCAGGTGTGCTCAGATTTCCATGCACGTTTAAGAACCCCAGGTGGTTCTTAAACAAACAAAGACCATCTGCGATCATAACAGTTCAGGAAACTGGAACACGTCCAAATTTACGGGGTTACAAGTCTTATAATACCGGGGATGCAGAAAAGAAAGCTGGTGCATTATTTGATAACGCAATTACAGCAATATGTCATAAGCCCATAAAAGGGAGAGATATCCAGCATCTCATAACAAAAATCACTTACAAAGCAAGCCAGAAAAAGAGTGCCTTCGTACTTAATACACATACTCCTTCAAGACAAAAAAAGTGGCGTTCGACACGCTGTTTTAAGAGATAGCAATATTCGCGAAAAGAAATCCACTAATCATAGTTGAGAACTTTAATGTCAGGCTTGTAAGTCGGGAATATATGATCCAAGAAACAGAATGCAAAACAATATCTCAAGACATATAAGAGGTAATGGGAACGACACCGTTAACAGACCCTGCAGTTATAACGAGAATAGGGAACAGCATATTCATGAACGCAAGTCCGGACTTGGCAATAGTGCAAAACTGTCAAAGCGTAGACTGGTATAAGACCTTTGAGAACCTGGGCAGGGATCATTACATACTATGCACCAGAATTTGCATGGGCCGTATCCGCAATCACATTAGCACAGCTAAACTAACACACTGCCATGCTTATAAAAAGTCACTGAAAGTACACATCACTGCAACAGACGACTAGGGCAAGTGGTGCAAAGTAATTCGAAATGAAAAGCAAAGGCACAGCAAAACTGTCTCTAGAACAGACAACACCTCTGAAGTAGATGCTTACCTCCTCCGCCTGTGGGAAGCAAGACGGAACCTCACTAAATGACGGAAAAGACATAAACAATATAGGAAGCTCAGAGCGAAAAGAAATCTCTAACGCAGCAAGCCGAAGACTGTGCCAATCAACTCGCAACAGCCAACTGGAAACATTTCTGCGATTTTCTAAATGAAACCTTAGCAACAGCTAAGACATGGAATATCTTCAGAGCCATGATTTACCCACTGAAAACTAAACGCAAAGGACAAAAATCTTTAAAAAGGTTATGGCACTCATATCCAGGCTCACGAGACGACCTCCTTGAAGAGATCTATACCAAGTGCTTCGGAGCTTGAGGTGTCACAGCTCCTTACAAGGCTAAATACACTGGGCTCGCAAACTCAGAAATGGACGCGCCTTTCACACATGCCGAGATCAGAGCAGCATGAAACGCAACACAGCGCCTGGGGTGGATCAAATCACCAATGCCATGATTCGCAACCTGAATGATGAAGCCATTACAGCGCTGCTAAGCTTCATCAACAAACACTGCGTAACAAGCACAATACATCAGCAATGGCACCGCGCTGTGACAATTATGATACCAAAACGAGGGAAAAAATTGGCAATATAAAACATCAGGCCGATTTCTCTTATATCGCACTTGGGCGAGCTGTTTAGGAGAATAATAAATGCCACAATTCAATGACATCTTGAGCACAACGTCTTGCGAAACACCATGTTTGGCTTCCGCTCAAGCCTTTCGACACAAAATATTCTTGTACTTTTAAAGGAGAAAGTACTAACAAATGTTCCGAAAGCAGGAGAAAGCATTGTCGTGCCCATTGACATAAAAGGCGCTTTTGGCAACGTAAGCCATAAGAATATATTAGATGGGTTAGCAGAGACCAACTGCGGTCAAAGGACATACCAATACATCGAAAATTTTCCTACTAAAAGAACCGCTGCCATCAAAGTAGGCGAGGACGAATTCAAAGCCTTCCACCCACCAAACAAAGGCACACTGCAAGGTGCTCCGATGTCACCTACTTCTTTCCACATAGCTAATATTGGTCTAGCCAAAAAAAACTCGAAAATATTCCATACATCCAACACTCCTTCTATGCGGATGGCATCAGTATAAGGACAACCAAGGGTAGCTTGGCAGAAAAACAAAAATGACTCCAAATAGCAGCGAAATCGATCGAAGAGTACACTAAAGAAAGAGGACTTCAGTGTTGAGCGGACAAATTGGAACTCATTCAATTCTCCAAAAGCAAAAAACAAAAACAAAGGATGCACCCGAGCCTTCGTCTTCAGATCAAGCGAGAAGGCAATATTATTACAGTGAAAACGACTCTTAAATCTTAGGGATGTGCTTTAAGTCCAATCAGCTATGCCTCCACACACTCAGCATTATTATACGAACAGCTTTACATATTGTTTGTATGATAGTTCGAATAACGAACAATCGTGCTGTGCTGAAAAAGAAACCTGCACTTCGCTTGGTAAAGAGCTTATTCATCAGCAGACTAACGTACTCGCTCCCCTACCACAACATGATTAAAGAGGAAAAAGAAAAAGCGAATAAAATAATAAGAATGGCACAAAAAGCCGCTCTGCGACTACCACAAAGCACTTCAACTGCGAAGGTATTAGCACTTCGACTCCACAATAGATTTGATAATTTGGCTGAAGCGCAAGTAACCACCCAAATGAACCGCCAGCTGCAGACGCCAACAGGAACAGAAATTCTCCAGAGGATCGGCCTCGGTGAACAAGTACGGGCCCATGGAAGAGCTAAAGAATGGTCGTGCTCAGTCAGAGCGTGGTACAATGTATGTGCCCTACCGAAGTACATCGATCCATCCTACATGCTGGAAGACGTAAATCAATAGCAGCTTACATTAATAAAAAGGCAAACTATTTGAATAAGGCGAGATTAACAGACGTTGCCCCATGTCAGACAAACGCAAAGAAAATGATGCCGTGGTCCAAGACCAAAAAGGAAACATTACGCATTGTGCCTTCATACCACAAGCCTCTATTGCAGAAGCGCAGGAGATAGCGATCGCACTGACAATCAACGAGGGCAGGGAGTGAAAAGCCCCACAGTCATTTCCTTCTATTCGGCTAGCTTCTACACGATAGCTAAGGAGAAAAGGTGTTTGAGGTTTGGAACGGGCGCCCCCCGATCACCCGGTTGCATGGTGGCAGCACGAAGGAAGAGCCGTAGTCCGGCGAAGAAACGCTTTATTGCGGCCTCAGAAGTCTGCCCTAGTTCAAGCCCGAACTTCCGCTGCCTGTTTCATAATAAAACATCCTTTTTTCAACCTTCGGTTGAACAAAGGGTCTCCACACAAGCCAATCACACGTGTCGGCTCGCATCGCCACAACCAATCGCAAAAACAATTTCATAACAGGTAGTGCATTGGCAAAAGTCACGTTTGAAATACAAAACGAGAGGGGATAGATTCTCTGCGTGCCACACTCTCTCCCATGTCAGATCGTGTATCGGCTGACCACCGTCGGTAGCCGTTCTCACGCTCGACCTCTGTCAGCTTTCTCATTAAACGTGGCTTCGAAGAAGCCTTCGTGAGCGTGGAGAGTACAACGGCAGGAACTGCGCGATGAGCAGGTGTGTGCATGCGACAGCGAGGTGCCCCGCCATCCTAAAACTTGGTAATGACGTACAGCGGGGGAGGAAAAGCTTGTCTATGTGCCGCTATCAAGGTAAGCCCAGTAGTCACGTCCCTGTGGAATTCTGATTGGAACGCGTGCATGCCAACAATGACTTAAGCTCAGACATGCTTAGCAATATGGTACATCT